CTCCGGTTGGAATGTTCTTCCGCGGGATGTGTGCAGTTCTGTTTATTAACCGCTAGAGCGCCAAAAGTTACATAGTGCTGCTTTAAAATTTAAAACCAAAGTAGGGCTATAATTATAGTTTTAATGTATATTACAATTAAAGATTGGCTTATACTACCCTCTGCCGGTCTGTTTGTAACAGTTGTGGGCAAGTAAGTGCACGCCTAGAATACAGAGAAGTCATTACCTCTGCACTGAGGGAATACTTTGCAATCAAGGACCACAGCTTGCAGGTGCACATCATGTGGAACAGGGAACTGCCAATAAACAAGATGAAGCCGCTCTTATGGACACCTGTGGACCACATGTACATACGCAGCATTAAAAACCATGTACAAAACGCTTGTTTTTCATGTAAAAATAATATAAAACAATTTCAGAAAAAAAAGAAAATAAATTTTGCATTACAAAATGAAACCTGTTTTTGCATAGCAACATTTTCTTGACAATTTATCCATGTTTTATTATTCTGTATTATAGTAAAGAAAATGATCCTGCTCAAACACAACATTCTTTTTTTTTTTTTTGATTTGTTTTTAAATCAATATAAATAAAATGTTGAAATATACTCTACCGTTCCAAAGTTTGGGGTCAGTAAGATTTTTGTTTTTTTTAAAGAAATTAATTATTAAATGAATTCAATTGATCAAAAGTGACAGTAAAGACATTTATAATGTTACAAAAGATTTCTATTTGAAATAAACACTGTTCCTTTGAGCGTTATATTAAAAAAAAAAAAAAAAAAAAAAAAATTTGAAAAAAATGTTACGCTTCCACAAAAATATTAAACAGCACAACTGTTTTTCACAATGATAATAAGATCAGCATATTAGAACGATTTTCTGAAGGATCATGTGACACTGAAGACTGGATTAATGATGCTAAAAATTCAGCTTTGCCATCACAGGAATATATTTCATTAAAATATATTAAACTAGAAAACAGTTATTTTAAACAGCAATAATATTTCACAATATTACTGTATTTTTTTATCAAATAAGTGCAGCCTGGGTGAGCATAAGAGACTCAAAATGATTCAAACAAATCTTACCCAAACTTATATATGGTAGTGTACTATATATCATTGTAGCAAAATCAAAACTATTATAATGCATACTTAAAATTATTGATACTTTTCAATTTAAGTGATAATTCATTATTTTTTTTGTATTAGAGTAATGAGAGTTTTTAACTACAATACACTACTGGGAGTAGGTTTGCTTTAAATGAAAATAATGTCAGACTGAAAAAGAAAAATCAAACAATCTCATCATACAATTACAACACAGGTAAAAACTGAAATGTTTCAAAGCACATTTTTGCATCTCCAGCCATTTACAAACATGCCACATTTAACTAATCAATAAAAATATAATAGAAACCACATCCAAGCGATCCAGCAAGCACTCTCAGCATCCCTGCATTTGCGTACGCGTATTCAAACACTACTCAGGGCTTCAGTCCAAAAAGGCACTTACTGTAGGTCTCATTGGAGGAGACGTAGGTGAGCAGAAGCAGCCCTACATTTTCACTTAAAGCTAAGAGGAATGTGAGAACACTCAAAAGCTGCTCCGTCAGCCTCCTGGAAAAGCGTCCGCGGTAAAAGCTCAAATATGCTGCTGCTACCAGGAATCGTGGAGCAGAATGCAGGCCGATGCTGAAACGCCAGATGTAGCGCTCCGGTGTCAGACTGATGGCTGCGCTGATGGACGGGAGGTAGTTAGGAACCTGTGAACCCCATTTTTACAAGATCTTTATTACAATGTCACTGCAAGTTTAGCACAGGCAAGTGAAAATCTGAAGCTTTTCTTCAGAAAACATAAAAACTAGTTTGATGTGACATGACTATTATAAATATTAACACATCTAACATTCACTTCAATGAATTGAGACAACAGTACTGTTTTACACTGATTCCATCAATTGAATAAATTGACACCAAAGTCCAAATATTACAGTGTTGACAAAATAACACATGTACACATCACACATGCATTAACTAATTCCAAACAATTTCTTCCCAATTCGCATGATAAATATCATGCTTGTGACACACAATCGTTTCATTAAAATAAAACACACACAAACACACATCCATACACACACATATATATAGGCCTTTAGTAGGTGAAGCTAAGCTGAATAAAAGTTTTGACTGATGATACGTGAAGGCAACACGCGATTGTGACAACATTTGGTTTTTGTGTTTTTCCAGGTCATCTCCACGTAATAAATAAATCAAGTATATGAATAATGCAGTGCTAATTGATATATCATTTATTACAGTAGCCTTTAGAAACTATTAAATATATTTTCTGCTTTTTATATGATAAAAATGGCAAAAACGTGTTTGTAGTATATAAATCAATCATAATACTGTCATTAGGAAAATGTAGGAAAAATATTATAGAATACAAATGATTGGTTATTGTCCAGAAGCAAATAAAAGAAATAATAATAATAATAACCTGTCAATTAGCCCCCCCGCTAATTGTTAAATCTCTTAAATTGTTACTGCCTTGAGTTATTATTTTGACAAATGTAAAATGCTTAAAAACACTAACTTTATGCGATTCATACTTGGCTAAATAAATAGAATATAGATTGCATTGTAAATGTAAAAATATAAAAAAGATTTTCTTTTTCTGATAGTGCAAGTAATGTTTATTTAAACAAAAAAATGTGACTGGGACATTAAATTACATTTGAGTTTTTCTTTTTTTAAACAAATATTAAATACACAACTTTGAGGACTTTGATTCCTCATTTCAGAACACCACCAAACGGTGAGCGTGATTTCACCAAGATTTCAACAACATTCCAATCAACCAATCAGAACTGAAAAATATCTGTTTTAGGCTTACGATCAGGGTTAGGTGCTTCTACACCCTTGTTAATCAGCCATCATTTCACACTGATTTTAGGAATAGATTATGGGTAGGGTTAGAATTAGGGGTAGGGATTGGGTTAAGTCTATATTTTTGGACAGTAATGTTGAACCATACATGTCTTGGCAAAATCACAGCGACCCCACCAAACACCACTGATATATAAACTATATTGCCAAAAGTATTGGGACACCCCCTTCTAATGAACAGGTTTGACTACTTTAGTAATTTCCACGAGTACAAATCTTAATGTTTAAGCATACAGTGGTGTGAAAAAGTGTTGGCCCCCGTCCTGATTTCTTCTTTTTTTGCATGCTTGTCACACTTTAATGTTTCAGATCATCAAACAAATTTAAATATTAGTCAAAGATAACACAAGTAAACACAACATGCAGTTTTTAAATGTAGGAAGAAATCAGGAAGGGGCCAACACTTTTTCACACCACTGTATATGATATTCTAGGGATTTGTGTGCTTCTAATTTTATAGCAACAGTTTGGACAGGACCCTTTTCTATTCTAACATGACAATGCCTCTGTGTGGAAGAACTTGACTGGTCTGCAGAAACCCAATTCAACACCTCTGGTGTGACTTTAAATGCAGACCTTGAGCCTGTATTTGGAAACTGTATTTCCATCTCTGATGCAACAGTTTTGGAAGTGTCTAAAATGACTGTACCCATATTATATATATATATATATATTACACACACGCACAGGTTTTAGGGGGAAGGAGTGACAATGTTATTCTCAGAGGGGATGTGAGTGAGTCTAGCAGTAATGGTCTGGTTCTCACCTCGCAGTGTGTGTAGGTCGCATCATTGTGGTGGTAGAGCAGAGCCAGCACGATACAGGCGACGAGGCCGAGCAGAGGCAGACACACTGTGATCACCGCTAACCGGGTGAAAGGCACACGGATGAGAGGCTTGTCTCGGTCCACAGATCCGTACGGGAACTGTTGCATCTTCCAGCCAATTACAGCTCCAGATGTGTCAACATCTACAGATCGATGCTACGCAGCCCACTGCAAGTGAAATGATGTGATGACAGCATCTCTAAACTAAATGTCTGATAATCAGCCCGAGCTCAAGTTGCGTGGCTCTGGATTATGACTTGAGTTAAGTTACATGCTTAGCGACTGTTCGCTCACCTCCGGCTCACTGTTGCTCGGTTAATAGTAACGTTAGACGAGCTCTAAATGAAGCGATATTCAAGTCAGTACCAGTAAATAAACAGTTAATAATTATAGTCAATCAAAATGGTTAAAAATCTAGATTCTCCGACTGTTATTCTGGATGCGAGTACAGATCGCGAACACTTCCGGTTTTGTGGCACCAGTAGATTTCAAAATAAAAGTCATTGCTGCGCGCCATCCTTTTTTTTTTCTCTTTTTAAATAACATTTTCATTTCAGGAACATAATTAGTAATACATCTGCGTATTAAAATACAGATTTTCGTATGCTGTTTAAGAACACTGACATGCTGTACAATATCAATTTCTAAACCCAATCAATATAATAATAATAAAAAAAAAATTATATTTACATTGGCTACATTATGTGCCCCTCTCAGGACTGTGTACAATGAAGCACTGATCCTTTCAGGTCCAGTAAATATATAATTCTTGCACCAGAGAAACAAAAAACTCAGACCATTAGGTTATCCACATCAAATCCACAGTGATATGACAGTCTTAATAATGCAACATGAACAAAAACCAACCACATTGACATGATAAAAAAAAAAAAAAATGTATTGCTAACAGACATCCAATCACATCGCTTCCAGTCAGTACATCAAATCACAGGACTGTTTTTGTCAACCTGGTGCATCGCTCGCTGTATATTAAAAATGGGCCCTCAATTTGTGTTAAATACAACCAAATAATTTTCTTTTGAAGAAAAACAAAACATGAGGGACTCATCCACTGCCCCGTCTTTGAAATGACAAAACAAAAAAAAATCCAATCTGCCCTCTCTTGTTCCAAATAGCGCTCTCAAAGTTGGTTCACGGAGAGAGGACTACAGAAAACATCTGCAAAGTCTGTAGACAGGCAAGAGGTGGGAGTGTGGGAATGTTAAAGTATACATGTCAGGGTCTCTTGGCCCAGTCTACTAGAGATGTTCTCCATCTCTCTTCCACAGCGTTCATCATTCCTCCGATTCCCACACTTCCTACAGGAGTCGTCAGTCAGGAGTCACTGTCCGAGCCGTTGCTGCTGTCCCGACTGATCTCGATCTGCAGCGAGGGCAAGTTGTCCAGCCGGCTTTTCTTCATCTTGTTGGACTGCTGCTCCTTCTGCTTGATCATTGCTCCCCACATCTTCTGCAGCTGAGAGTCATCCTCTTTATTGTCATCAACTCCGTCAGATTCCTCGTCATCTCGTCGCCTTATTCCTCTTGAGGAAGACGCTCGGGAAGCAGTCTTGTCATCGTCTCTATCGTCCCTATGAGACGGGCCTAGGCGGCTCCACAAGCCTCCTGAAAACAACAATTACTATTAGTATTAGAAAAAAATGTGAAGAGAACCAAAAGAGCATTGACTCCAATTATACCCGTTTTCTTGTCTTTCGAGGACTCTGAGTAGAGGCTGCGGCTCTCGTGTTTTGCCACTCCGAGTCGGCTGCGCACGTCAGTCAAAGGCTCTCTCCGAGACACTGCGTTTCTAGAGATGACGGGAGAGACAGAGCGACGTCTCTCTGGAGAGTGTGGTCTTTTGCCTAATCTCTGTCTCACATCTGCGGAGAGAAAATGTGTCCTTTTATTGGCCACATTTGCTCAGCATGAAAATGGTCAAACATTAAGCAATCCTGTGGATTTCAGTTCATCCGCTTTTTGTGTTTCAAGATCCTTATGAATACATAAGACCTTTTTTTAATAAAGAAAATTAATATTGTGTCCATACAACGCAAACCTATAGAATCTCAAGTAGAATAATCTATAACAAATTATATATTTTAATCAAACACCCTGGGGAACACATTCGAATGCAAAACAGGGTAACTACGTTGCTTTTAAAGAAAGTCAATAAAAAGATTATTGTTCCGAAATGAGTCAAATCTATACTGAATGTGTTAAATAATGTTTTTAGACTTTCCTATGACCGAGCGGCCCAGAGAAGCCACAAGACTTGATGTTGAATTAAATGCCAGATACAGTTTCTGTCACCAAAATACCAATAATATCAGGGAAAAACTGTTTTATGCATAATCAAGCCCGAAATACATTGGCACTCTTATTTTAAAATGTCTATGCTTGACTACTTCCAGCAGCTCATTCAAAAAGATGGAAATAAAATATGCACTCTTATAACCATCTACAATATAAACATAATTTATAAACAGTATATCATAAGCAATCTATTGGCATAAATGTGCATAATTCAATGATTGTGAAGTCCTCTTAATGTGTAACAGTGCCACATTTTGACTGAGCATGCAGAGCTCACATTTATTTAATTCAATCATAGCCTTCTGAACTGTAATCATCACTAGGGATGTAACGATTCACAACTCACGATTCGATTCACGATTTTTTTAACAAAATGAGATTTAAGACCAATTATAAATTAAATGTGTCCTTTTATTATTGCTTGTACAAAATTCTGCACGTTTCTTTGTGAAATTGAATAATATACTAATATAGCACTTGCATATTATTGCTCTTTTGTTGGTTTTGTCCTCATTTGTAAGTCGCTTTGGATAAAAGCATCTGCTAAATAACAAAATTTAAATACAATATAAATATAAACAACAAAACTAAATTGAAATTTTAAAACAAGCCCCAAATCAAATAAATAACACAAATAAAATAAATCTCTTCATATAAACAAATTAAGGCTTTGTCTGTTCTTTCCTTTTAAAATTAAAACTGCATTTTAATCATGATCCAAACAAAGATGCTGCATACATGCAACATGAGCAGTTTTTAATCTAAATTACATTGAATAATTTCGAAATTTGAAGAAAAAAAAAAGATTGATTTGACAGTTTTGCGAAACTATACATAAAAAAAATCTGCATGAAACAGAAACAGCAGACGAGATGAATGAGATGCAGATTCACTCTCTGCCAGCAGGTGGTGCTTAAAGCGTTTCCTTGGTTTCCGCTGTAAACAAAGCAGCGCTGCACTTACGAACTTTAATATGCATTATACAGAGGCAAGATGAAAAGAAAAAATACCATCTAAACTTTTCTAAAGACAGTAAGTTCCCCTCAGACATACATTCATATAAACTCCTACCCCTAATTGAATCGCGATTTGTTTAGCATCTCAACCGATTTGAATCGTCACATATTTAAATCGATTTTCAACCGGCTCGCGGTTAATCATTACATCCCTAATCATCACATTAGGTCATATCTCAATTTCAAAGTTTGAGACCTCTTAAAATGATATTTATGACATTTGTTATACCATTTAAGATATGTAATACTTTTTAATGACCTTAAACTTGATTAGTGGTCGACTGATATATCATCAAGGCCGATATTTGGCATTTTATAAATATCGGCATCGGCCAATAAGTTTTTCTGTTTGGCCGATGTGGACTTTTATTTTGACGGCGCTGAGAGCGGCAGCGCCTGAGCACACAGTGCTCATGTTCTCCCTCTTTTTCGCCGTCTTCATTGACAAGTCTGTCTAATAATCCGATAGAACTGTAAAACAAAGGAATTAAAATGTATAAAAAAAGTATTATAACGATTGCTTTTATATTATTAGTAATAGAAAGGCAAACATTATAATACTTTCTCGTTTGCCGTCAGCATTCAGCAAATACGCATTTATATAATTTAAACAAATCTTTGAATGGCTAATGAACATTTAATTTCACAAACCTTGCAAACTTATTCGAATCCAATTGTGAGATCTTGTGAAGTGTGCATGTGACCTGCATGATCGCATGTTCTCTGCGTGACTTTCGGTCCGTGCAAATTGAATGCTTTAAACATTAAATTTCTGATTTCAAATTATGCTGGGCTTTATGCATTTGCCCACTGTCACATTCATGTGTTTTCACTGTGTGCTGTATGTAAAATGAGTGTTACCCTGGCTTTATTTGAAAAAACATGATTCCCAATGCACACAAACTTCCCAGAATACTGAGTGCTCTGTTGGTTACGGACTAGTTTATTTCCTATTTAATTATATTTTTATTAAATGTATTTGTTTGTGGAAAAGACTTTGTCATCTAAAGTATAAATGTTTATTTTACAATAATATATTAATCCATTTTCAAATGATTTCAAATTTCTTAAATATTAATGAAAATAAATACAATTATATCGGCCATCCTGCTTTCCAAGATATCGGTATCGGCTGTCAAAAAAACAATATCGGTCGACCACTAAACTTGATCAAACTGAATTTAAGACTTTTTAATAATCTTCCAGGAAACCTCAATCTGGGTGCCAGGGGCACTTGATGGCAAACTATTTAAATCAAGAAATAGATATTATTATTATATTAAGATAATCTAACTTCAATGCATATTAGAATGCCAAACATTAAATCAAGATTTTTAGGTTCTGTCAATAACTAACCCGTCTTGCCGCTTCTAGTCACTGGGGGACATGATCTCTGCTGAGAGAGTCCCTGCCTCTTCTCCTCCAGTAACTGCCTCACATCCGTCACTTTGTCTGATGTAGACTTGGATGAGCCTCCACCTCCTCCACCACCACCAATGTGACTCTTAACACTGCTACTTGTTTCAGTCCGTATGGAGTTTCTGAGGCAGTGAAAGGGACAAAATGCACAATTACCATTAAGAAACTTGATCATCATGGAATCTTTTCAGCATGAGGGTCAAGAGATGAAATGCAAATCCTAAAGTGTGGACTGAAGACTCACCGAAGACTGCGAAGGTTAGTTTCTACCTCATCGGCATACATAGTCATCTTCATACTCTTTTTGGGAGAGGGCGTTGAGATCATTTTCAGTTCCAGATCGTAGTCCATCTCATCTGAATCTGAAGATGCAGGCGACGGGCCTCCTTCCACTAGCCGTGGCCCCCGTTCCCTGTCTGCCCGATCTCTGTACTCCACCACTCTATCATCAGCATCCATGTCTTCCTCTCCATCCTCCTCTTCTTCTTCTTCCTCTTCTTCTATAGGCTCTTCTGGCAGATTCACCAGGTCAGCTGAGAAAGAGAAAGAGCTTAATTGATGCACCAAAAAAAACTCAAGACAAAGATGTCAGTTTGTTATTTAAGAGAGTTTTACCAGAGTGTCGATGAGTGTAAGGTGGGGTGTGTCCCATACTGTCTCCAATCAGAGACTTTTTGGTCTTCAGAATGTCACGCTGGATTCTGCGTGTGTGATA